GGGGGTGTCCCGGGGATCAGGATTTAGGGCAGGGACCTTCGCCAAGGGCACGGCGGAGGGTCCGGCCCTGCGCGCCCGTCCCCCGCCACGGCTGTCACCCTATGGGTGACAAGGCACAAGCATCGCCGGGAGGGTTCCCGGGGTTCGCTTCCTGCTGGGGCTTCTCCAGTGGCTAGCAAAGGGTTGGGCTGCTCCGGTGGCAGCCTTTCCTGGGGACCGTGGGAGTGCCGGTGGCAGCTTCCTCGCCTCCCTCTCTTCGTGGAGGGAGCAAATACCGGCGATGCCTGCGCCTCTGGGAAACGTGGCGAGATTGGGCAATGGGTTCAAGTGCTGCTGGGGGAAGGGACTCTCCCACGCACACACACACACTCGAGCGGGAGGGAATGAGCATCGTTTCCATAGGGAAACAGGCTAAACACGCCCGCATCCCTGCCTGCCACCCACGGGGCTGGGGACCCACCCAGCCTGAGCCCTTCGCACCCATGCTTTGGCCGGTTCAATATTGCCCATCGGCGTAAAAGCTTTCATCCTCCCTCGGCTTTCATCTTCCCTCCGTGCTGGCTTCCAGGCTGCACTCTGACCGGAGGAGAAAGGTCTGCAGGCCCTGGGTTGCTCGGAGGAGGAGGAGGAGGAGGAAGCAGCCATGGTGTTTGCCCTGCCCAGGTGCAGGCAGGCTCAGCCCACGGTCTGCAAGGCCTGGCTTTGGCCGTGCGTTATTAACCTCGGCTCAGAAAGGCTTTTCCTTTCTCTGCCCTGGCTCTTCTCGCTCGCTGGTGAAGAAGTGGGGACACCTCGCACCCAGGTCATTAGCCTGAGAATGGCACCCGGGTGCCCAAAACGCAGCACGGCCCCCCCTGCCCCCATCTCCCCATCCCCATGAACAGGAACCAAAATTCCCCTCCCAGCAGCAGAGACGAGCAGACCCAGTGATCAGAGGAGAAGCTGGCCTGGGAGGGGGCGGTGGGAGGAGAAGACAGCAAATTCCCACTCTCACCTCCCAGTCCGAGGAGGATGGGGCTAGATGTCTCAAAGGGAGATGGTGCCTGCAGGTTTCCCATGCGCTGGGGAGGGGACCAGGACCATATCCCCCCGGGGGGATGCTCTCCCTGCCTCTGCCAGCCCCTGGAGAGCATGGGGAGGAGCGCGGCTGTCCCCCCAGCTCTGCTGGCCCCTGGGGTCCCCTTTGAAAGAGCGGGGGACATTTGTGGATGTAGGGGAGGACAGCATTGCAGGATGCACATGGGGAAACTGAGGCACAGAGCAGTGCAGGGTGTCACATCCCAGAGCAGGGATCCAGGCGGATCTCCTCCACCCTCTGCCACACGCTCAGGACCGCGGTCGCCTTCTTCCCCTCCAGGTGCTGCTGCTGCCCTGGGTCCGGATGCCAGCGGGTACCATGTGGGAAGCACCGGGCGGGCTTTGGGATGGGTATGGGGTTGGTGTGGTGTACTCGCCACTGCATCTGGAGGAATATAGAGAGTATAGGAAGCAGCTGGACCTTGGTCTCCTCCCACACTAACCTTGCCTTACTGGAGAGGGGGTTTCTCCGGGTGCAACGGGAGTGGGCAGGCTGGCCTGAAATAGCAGCAAATCAACGGCTGACTCTTTCCAGCAAACAATGTGGAAAGCGAGGAACGTTTTCCCACCCTCCGCTCTCGGGGTGGCTCCCCTTGCATCTCTGACAGCCACAGGCTCTTGTGGCAGAGAAAAAAGGGGACCCCCCCCGTCAGGGCTTCTCAGCCTTCCTCCTCCCGTGCCTTCTCCCTGCCAAGGCCAGATGCTTTAGCAGTGCGTGCAGAAAAGTCCATTGTAGGCAGTTTTTGAAATAACTTGCCTAGAAAGGAAGTTTCTGCACTTTGAAGCTGGCTCCTGCCCCAATCCGGGCACATAGCTGCTATTTTTTATTCAAATCCAGCTTGAGGAGCGTGGAGAGGGCATGGGCGGTTGGTGTCGGGTCTCTACAAATCTTTGCCCCTTTTTTTTCTGTGTCCTCTGGACTGAGGCATCACGTGCTGAAACCCTGGCTGGAGTTTTCCCAGGCTCCTTCCTGGGATGCTTTTGTTGCTGCACTCACTGTGGGACCGGAGTCGGGGGTCTTGAGAGACCATTGGGTCACCCGTGGGCGGGCGGGTGACTCTGAGGGCACCGGATGGTGGGGACCAGGCGCTGTGCTTAGAAATGATCCCGGGGGACCGCGTGGATTTCCGTCACAGCTTGCTGCTGCTGGGGACAGAACGTGTTAGTGAATGAGTCCATGGGCATCCGCAGCTCCCAGGCTGCCTGTACCTGTCCTGCAATGGGTTTCTCTCCCTCTCCCCCCACTGCCGCCTTATTCCCTTTCCTGGCAAAATATTTTCGTCCTGCGCAGGGGAAATCCAGTGGCTCTCGGCGGCCAGTATCACACAGACAGGAATGTCTTGGCACGCGGGGCTTTCCGTTAGGAAAACAGATGTTTCTGCAGCAACTGAAGTTTTGCAAAGAGCTTTCCCCGGGCTCGGAGGGGCAGGAATCGGCGAGGCAAGCGCTGTGATCTGCAAGCCCTGTCCCCCTCCACCATCCTTCCCCATTTTGGGAGTGATTTGGATCTCAGGCTCCAAATCCTGTCATGTCATGTTGTCACCAGGCTTGGATCAGACCCTAGAAGGGGAGAAGTAAATGCATGAAGGGGCCCGGCCGAAACAGCCCAGGGAGGTGCTGGCAGTCCAGCCAGACCCTTGCCCTGAGCAATGCCCCAGCATATTCCTGCCTGGTCCCAGCTGCCTCCCAGGGCTTGGGGGACGCTCTGGGCTCAGATCTGCACCCAGTGCCTCCAGTTCCTTGCCTATCCCATAGGAGACAGTGACATAAGTACCCTGGATTTATTTCCCCAAGGGGGTTGGTGGCCAGTGGGTGCCATAAGTCGTTGGTCCCCAATGGTTGTGTCCCCAGGTCTTGGACAGGGTTGGTTCCCTGCAGGATCCTCCCCCATGCCGTTCTGTTCATCAAGCAGCTTGGGAGACCTGCAGCCACCACAGTGGCACCTCTGCCGGGGTGGGCTGGGACTCGGGGCCCTTGGCCACTGGGGTCACCTTGGTCCCCTCAAAAACCCCACACTCTCTGTCTCCCTGCCAGGCCTACCTACGAGCGGTCGACGTGAAGATCCTACAGCAGCTGGTGGTGGTGAACGAGGGCATCGAGGCGGTGAAGTGGCTGCTGGAGGAGAGGAGCACGCTGACCAGGGGCGCGCCGCCCCCGCCCTCTGCAGCGCCTGGACCAGCAGCCAGTACAGCCTGGTGGAGAGCCAGGCGGCCTCGCGGCGGGGCAGCTGGGACAGCCTGCAGGACCCCAACGACAGGCTGGACAGCATCTCCGTTGGTAGCTACCTGGACACATTAGCTGATGACATGGATGAGTATTCTCAAAACACCGCTGAAACCGCTGCCGCATCTGTGCCGGGCAGAGCCCTGGTCAGGGCAGAGCAGGATTGGGTCAGGATCGACCCTGAGAGGGGTCTTGCAAAGCAAGAGAAGGGCAAAGCGGAGCACGAGTGGCCCCACGTGGACCTCTCCCCACCTGGGCTGCCCCAGGATCACCGGTTTGCTAAGGAACCCCAGGTGACCAACGGGTATTTGGGCCAGCAGCCCTCCTCTCTGGAACCAGGCAGAAACACCAAATTGCCGTCAGGGGCCGGGGAGAGGCTGGGGAAGGGGAACCTGGGTGGGAAGGCTCGGAAAGCCGAGGATGACTTTGAGAACTGCAAACTCAACAGCAAACTGCACCTGGAGTACGATGCCCACTGGCGCTGGCTCCAGTCTCAGGACGATGTGACGTTCTTGTAGCCTGTGGCTTCGCCTTCCCAGTCCAGCTCTCCCATCTGCCTGCTCCGCTTCACTTGTCTCTGCTTGGGAGAGTTGGAGTGGCTGGAGAGGGGGGGACAGGCTGGCTTGGTGGTGTTGCACTGTTCCTCTGACCCCCCCGTCAGTGTTTGGTGATGCAGCCCTAAGGGACGGGGTGCCCGCCCCATGGCGAATTTCTGTGAGAGGTAGGATGAGGTGGATCTCTGTAAATTTAATCCTTTGCTCTGGGGTGGTGCTTGCAGGTGGCTGATCACTCCTCTGTTGTCCTTGATGTCGGTGGCGGGGAAGGGTTGGTGGGGAAACCTGGGACAGCAGGACTCCTGGCACCTCTCTCTGACTCCACCTCTGCCCTCTAATCCTCAGTCTCATCTGGCAAAAACTGGGGACCCTTCCCCCAAACCAGCTACCCAGGGAGGACAGGAGATGCTCCCATGCATCCACAGCTTGGTGGCACCAGCATGCGAGGTGCCAGGTGCGGGGCAGGACCATCAGCAGGTCATCCCTGTTGGATGTGCTCATTTCCATCATCGTCTTTAAGGCCAGTGTCCATCCAGGGTAGAGCTGACCTGGGGCACTGGGGGTTTGGCCGCAGCACATGGTGGATGCTAAAATCCCCTTCCTGGCGGGTGAGGCCCTGCCTGGTTTAAAAGCCTCTGTGAAGTGTGATCAGGGCGGTCACTGTAGCTGCTCCTCTTGGGCTGCGGAGCCTTTGTCCATGCCCTGCAGAGGAAGGATGATGGTGCAGGCTTCCCTTCCTGATGTGATTATGTGAGAAGGGCAAAACACTGGGTGGGAGATGGACACCCAGTTCTCCCAGTTTGTTTCTGGACTGTCTCCCACCTTGGGACCAGGTCCTGCAGAAACCCCGGGACGTGTCAGCGTATGGGCAGCCTGGCAGAGCTTGCGGGGCTCAGACTCAGAAAGTCTCGTGCTTTCCCCTGATGCAGTGTGATGGGGGTGATGGCTGGGATTCTCCATCTGTGTGATGAATGGTGCCAGGTCTCTGCTCCCTGCCAGCCACCAGAAACATGAGGCTTCTCAGCCAGGGTGGATTTGCAGTGACCCTGCCCTGGAGACATCATCTTCCCTGTCCTTTTAGCCTTGGCTTCTGCCTGTGCCTTTTACTGCCCACCCACCATGCCTCCCAGCACACCCCTCGCCCCTGGCTGGCTTGTAGAGCATGGCTTGCAGCTGGAGCTGTGTGCAAGCTTGGGCAGGACCTGCTCCCTTCACCAGACGATGCAGGGAAGGACCTGGGCATCCCACAGCCCCCTGCTTCAAGGAGAGGGGCTTTTCCACATACGTGGACAAGCCTGGAGGGTCCCAGCTTCCCAACCTGCAGGTGTGTCTGTCCCTGGCCGAGTGCTGCGACAGCTTTGCTTTCGCTGCAGTGCTGTCATTCCTCTGCCTGTGTGGGTCACAGCTGGGCTCTGTCCTTGCTGGGGTGGTGGGAGTGGAGACAACATCTGAAGTCAATGGGAAGCCAAGAGAGAGGAAGACCTGGCTGTGACTATTTCTAGATGCGAGATGTGAGCTCGCTGTGGTTAAGGCGGCGGTCGGGTGTACGAAGGGTTCAGCTTTGTGTCTCTGAAGCAGCACCTTCAATGGAAACTGCCCCCTGTGCCGAGGTCCCCGAGCACCCTCCCTTTCCCCCACAGATCCTCAGGGCTTCCCTGGATGGACACAGAGAGCTGGACAACATCCAAAATTCCCAGAGACGGCACCTGCCAAGGACTTGGGTGAATCCCAGCAAACTGGGACCAGGCTGCCCTATGCGAGCATCCCATCTGCCTGCCCCGGAGCAGCCGTGCTTGGCTTGCTGTCGCCTGCAAGCAGCTTGTGGCTCGCTGTGTAGCTCTGCGGCTGAGCCACCATGTCCCCCAAGGCCAGCTGTCCCCCACTTTCCTTCTAGCCCTGCATGCAATGAATCAGCTGAGGGTCCCTGGGGGAGACGGGGTAAGTCCTCCAGTGCTGTTAAAATCATTCTCAACAAAAAATAGCTGGCTTAATAAATGGTAGTGTTTCTCCCAGGCCACGCTGTCAGTGCTTTGCTGAGCTTACGGGGTTTCTAGGGGAAAGGGAGAGGCTCCAGTCTGAAACGTCCTGGAGCCACCAGCAGCTCTGCAGGCAGGGCAGGTTTAGCCCCCAGTCGTGAAACAGGCACAGACCACATGCCTGGGGATCTGTCCCTTGTCACATCAGGGTGGTGACACTTAAAATCACACTTCCTGAAGCAGCTGGGTACCTGAGCACATCTGCCAGGAGCGAAGAAGCTGGTGAGACCGGATCTCTGGGAGATGGGGCATATTGAGCTCGGCTGAACTATGTCTCTAGCTACAGATGGCAGCTTTGCCCTTCTTGCCCCAAATTTCCATGGAAGATCTTTCTAGGTGTTTGCCAGCCCCGTTAGCTGTGCTGGAGTCTCCATTTGCTTCCCTTGTTCTCCCCCCTCCACCTAGGACGTGCAGGGGGCTCTGGGTATAGGGCAGAGACTTCTCCAGCCCAGCCCTGGGTGGGAGCAGCCACAGTTCTGATTTCAGGCTGTTGGGATTTGCTCCTGGGTGGGTCCCTTTAAAACCACTGGAGCTGGTGCTCATGCAAACATCAGCCTTTCCAAAGCAAACGCAAGCCACTTATCCAGTCCTGCCATCCCGGCCTCAGCATCCGTTCTGGCTCATTGGCTTTGAAACCGTGAGCTTTTGCAGATGGAGAGATGGATGCTGGAGCCAGCAGGACTCTGCAGGATTTCCCCATTTTCTGCTGGGCTGAGGTAAAAAATAAAATAAAATATAATGAAGAAAACCATAGAAACAAAATGCCCAGCCCATTCCTCTTCCACACCTAGACCCTAGTGGTTGGACTGCTCTGTGTTGCCACAGGTGAGCCTTTGCTGGGGCTCCCCTGTGCATGGACTCTTCAGCCCAGCTTACAAGAGCCTGTTGCCCACAGGCCCAAAATCTGGGTATCCCCCAAATCCCAACCCTTGGAACTGGAGGGGTGGGTAAGACCTTCTCACAGTTGTCCTGCCATTCCCTGCCCTGTCTCCAAACCACCTGGATGAGGGGCCACCCACCTCCAGACTTTGCCCAGGCACATGCAGACCCAACGTGTCCCAAACCTGCCCTGGGAAAGCACCCCGGGGACCTCTGTCTTTCTTACTGTAAGGTGGGTGCAGCAACAGGGTGCAGAGCACCCATGCGTGGCAAACAGCCCGCAGCGCAGATCTGCAGCCTCTCTCCTCGCCGCGGCCCGGGGAGGAGCGGTCTGCCTGGCCCTGCCTGCTGCTGCCCTTGGGCTGCTCTTGGGCTGTTCAGTGCCAGTAGCAGGTAAGAAAACAAGCAGATAAAGCAGGCAGGATCCCAGCCGGTGCCAGAAAACACCCACCTCTGTTACAATGAAAACACCAGCAAGCCAATTTTTTTTTTAAGATATACACAGAGATTAGACTGTCTTAACAAGGCAGTAAAACACTTTAATAGCTCCCCTTCCTAGTTATTAAAAAGTCCCCTGGGCTTTCCCCTCCCTGCGTGCAGCTTGGCTCCGAAAAGGCCTGTCCCCTGAGCGCTGCAGCCATTTAAGCAATTTATGTTAGTTCCTGCGGGGAGGCAGCGTGAAAATAACCTTTTCCTGGGGCGGGGAAGAGCCTGGTCCCCACGGTAGGAGGGGAGCTGGCATCCAGCCCCTCTGCCAGCCACCGTGGCCTTTGGTCTGGCAGCCCCGTGGCTCCACACAACCCCGTGGGCTCGCTGCTGTGGGGTGCATTGCTGTGGGATGTCCTGGGGAGCGTGTGCAGGGGATGTGCAGGTGCAAGTGCAGCCTGTGGGGTCGGATCCTGGCACCCCCCCTTCCTCGGGCTGTGGGGGGCATGCTCCCAGTTGTCCCTTGTACCGTTCCCTGTGCGTCACTCAAGGATCAGATGCTGGGAAGAAAATTCTGTGCATTAGGGCTGCTTGGGGCTGCTCTAAAATGCACCCTTTGGGCCGTGCACAAGCATCAGCTTGCCTTGAACCTCCCCGCCACGGCCCTGCTTCTGGCACCCGCTGCTTGGAGATGAAAAGATAAGAAAAGGTCCAGATGAAGCAAGTCTAACCCAGAACTGACGGTGTCCTGCCTGCTGGTTGCCCCAAGCTGAGCATGGGCTGCATTGCAGGGTGACCTGCCTGAAATCAAACCCCTTGAGAGGTTTTCAGCCATAGCGGTGTGACGAAGTGGCCCAGTGACACCAGTGGCAGTGGGGGGGTGTTCCCCAGGCAGAGCTCTGGGCTTGTGCTGCCTGACCCACTGCAGGCAGAGTGGGGCAGGAGAGGCCAACGAATGGGGCAGGAAGGGCTGGTTATGCCCCCAAGCCCTGCTCTCAGCCTGCCATCTTTTGGCAGTCAGGATGGTCTCCTCGGAAAGGCTGAAGTGTTGGTGCCCTTTGGAGCAAAGCGGTGATCCCTGGGGAGAGCCCCGTGATGCCAAAACCACCTCCAATTCAGGATGGCATTCAGTCCTGGTCCCAGAGGACCTGGCCCCCAGCCTGGCCCCATCATCCAGCTCTCCTCCGGCCAGCACCTCTCACCCAGCCCGCTCCCCACACCCTGCCCAGTATGCGGTTAAACCAGCCCAGCGGAGGGTTCTTGTGTTCTGGGTTTCCAGCCAGTTTCCAGCTTTTCCTTCCCACTGCCCCAGGGTTACAGGTCTCCAAGGAAGGAATCTCCTACAGGTTTTGCGCAGAGGCAGCCGAGGAGAAGGGAGAGATGTCACCCAGTGCTCGTCATCTAAGAAAAGGGCTTGTAGCGTGCTCTCAACCTGTATTACACACCAGAGAAGCCACACTGGGCGGGGGATGATCCGACTGCACAGGGTGGCTCAGGCACCAAGTGGGAGCCTCGTGGTCACCTCCTGCCTCCTCCCCACCTGTGGGACCCCCCCAAGCTTCCCCCTGAGTTGGTGTCAGCGGCTGGGTGACGGGGAGACTGGTGAACAGGGGGACAAAGCTG